TCCCTTCCACCAACACCTCATACTCCTCACCCTGATAGTGGATCCTGAAGCCACCACCCCTGGGGACCCGTGGGCTCTGGAAGTGCAGGAGCAGCCTGTTGGTTGGGCTCCGAAGGACCTGTCCCTCTCCCAGCATGGAGGAGTTGGCTAGGAGTCGGGGGGCCAGGCCTGGGGAACCCCCACCAGCCAGCACAAGGAGCTCCTCTTCCTGAGATAGGTTGAGTGTCTGCACCTAGAGAAGCCAGACAGAGACAGACCAGGGCAACTTAGTGAGAGGAGGGAGCGACATGACTCTGTACCCCCTCACCCCTCAGTCTTCCTTTATCCTGTCTGTAGCAGCCTCCAAACCACAGGGATGTCCTCCATATGGCCATGAACTCTAGAAGAGTTCTTGAGATCATTCAAGTTGGAAAGCAGGCCCATCTACGTTAGAAAACAGGTTCTCTGGCTTCTGAGCCAAACCCGTGGACACCCAATGGGTCCGGAGGAAAGGGCTGGGAACTTTCACAGCCATATGCTTAGGTCGTATTACCTGGATCTCAATGCCATAGCCAGGATAGACATGGATGCTGTAAGTGCAGTCCAGGAGCCCCAAGGTGCGGCTGCCGGTGCTCCCCAAATCTGGAGATTCCACGTACCCTTCACCCTCGGAGATGTTGTTATTACACAGAACTAAAGAGATATAAGTGGCTGGGGTTGAGAGAGGCCCTGTGCTCTTGCCCTCCCAACCAGACGACTCTAGAGGTCTTCATCTGTCTTCTCCCCGGCACCCCTCACCATCTTTATCCAACACCCCTTTACTGAGAACTCTCTTCCCTAATTGTGCTGTAGATGAAGCGGCACCTGCCACTCAGCAAGGGTATATAAATGCTGGTCTTTGTTATTATTAAGTGGAAGCTTTTCTCCCATCTGAACCGGGAGCTCCTTCTTCCACATTTTTCAGGCAACCTCTTCTTCATCCATCCCCGCATCCTCCTCTCCCACATCTGTGCTCCTGGATATTTCCCCCATCCCCTTTCCATTGCCTCACCTGGGCTGGTGACTGTAGTGGTGACAGTTGTCGTGGTGATGATGGTGGTCGTGGTCTCCTCCTCTCCTCCCTCGGGAACAAGAGGCGAGACTGGGGAGGCGGGGCCGGGAAGGGGCGGGGCCGTAGTTCCAGGGGGCGGGGTCAGTAGCTCTGGTGCGGTGGGGCCTGCTCCTCTGACCCCCTTAGGGGTTACGGCTGTTGTCAGAGGCCCTGTCGCTGGCTCAGTGGCTCTTGACATGGAGGGCGCTGCAAGAGTCTGGCCGGCTGGAGGGGTGGCTAGTGTGGGGTCTGGATCAGATCCTGGGACAGCACAAGGGAAGCCAGGGCACAGGAGCAGCAAACTGGTGAGTGGGCTTGGGGAGTAGGTTAGAGGGAAACTGAGGGTTCCCCCACTGAACCCCAAAGGTCTCCCCACAAGGCACAGCCCCCGCCATCTCTCCCTTCCCCACCCCCTCCCAAGCTTTCACAGTTGGAGCCCCCTTTGTGTCTCCCCCATCTCTGACTCTCCCCTGGAGCCTCTTCTTGCCCCCCACTCAGATCTGGCTCTCTCTCCTGGCTATCCCTTTCTTTCCCTCTGGCTGACTCTTCCTGGAACTCTTTATTTTTCTGTTTACTACTCTCATTGTTCTCTGATCTTTACTCTCTGTCTCTCACCATTTCTCTGCATTCCCATCAATCTTTCTCTGTGTGTCTTCTCTCTGTCTGACTGTTCCTTAACCATCCTGTCCTTATTTCTCTGGGCCTTTTATGTTCAGTTTTGACTCCTTCTTCAACGTCCCCCTGTGAATTTCACTGGGTTTTGGGGGATGGGATCTTACTCCTTCAGCTTGTTCCTCTCCCCTGGCCTCACTCTCTATCTCCCTGAGCCAATGCCTCTCCCTCCACCACTCTGCCACTACTGTCACTTTTGGGACCTTACCCAGCAAGTAGCCCATCTCTGGGCCCTTCCTTAGCAGGGCCCCATGGAGCAGCTCAGCCAGAGCCTCAGAGGCCACTGTGGGGGTCTCACTTCCAGGCTCTGCCAGTGCTTCCTCCTCCTTCAGGGGCAGACCTAGAAGGTGAAGTGGCATGAGCCTCTTCTCTCCCCCACATCCCTTCCTTCTCCAGAGATGTCTTTCCCAGAGCACTACCCTCCTCATCAGCTGGGTCTGCAGGGGCTCAGAGGGTCCCTGACTGGGCTGAGAGCCAAGATTGGAGGAGAGGCTCCCAGTTGCCCTTCACACTCCCACACACCACCACCACCACCACCACCACTCCCGCCCCATGCTCTGTGGGCCTCCACTGAGCACCTTAGTTCCTACAAACCCTGGACAGCACCAGCAGGGTGGAGTGGGGGGCTTTGGGACTGCCTTTCTTTTCTCCTCAGTGGTAAGCTCCCCCAACCCTGAGGCTCTGTGGAGGGTCTGGCAGTGTCTTCTAGCCCTTGCTTCCGCAGTGCCCAGCTTTCTCTCAGGTTTTCTGTCTCTGCAGTGTAGCTGCCTTTCCTCTCTCTCTCTCTCTCTCTCTCTGCAGTCTCTGCTTTCTTCCCTTGAGTCTGGCTGGCTGGCGGTCAGGGTGGGAGTATGAATATCTGGTCTCTAGCTCAGTCTCTATTCATCTGTCTTTGTCCATAAGTCTAAGAACATTTGTGTGTGCAACGCCTGGCATCTCTTCCATCTCCCACCCAGGTACCTTGCATGCTTCTGCCGCCTCCATAGACATTACCCCCCCTCCAACTTCCCCAGCCTTCCTTCCTGGATTTAACCCCTAAGACACAGCTCAAAGCTCCTCTCATTCATTTCCCCATCTCCTCAATATTGGGAGTTGAGTGGCTCCAGATATAAGCCACAAAGTCCTGTCTTGCCCCTTCCTACTCAACTATGCCCCTCCCCCCCACAAGCTGGAAAGGCCTAGCATACTAGGAGAAAGAACGTGGAGAACCCACTAAGGCCCTTCTTGGGGCCCATCCCCACACCCTCGTGTCCTTACCCTGGATCCAGGGACAGCTCAGCAGAATTAGGAACAGCAGCTGGGGAGGCGGCGGGTGCTGGGCCTTGGGAGTCCCCATGACGACTCACCCCAATTTCTCTCCTCTGTGCCTCTCCTGAATAATTTAGCTGTCACTTTTCCTTCGTGTTCTTTTATCTTTCCCTTTAATTTTGTTTTCTTGCTAGGGGTCAGCAAAGGAAGACAATTTTTCTGCCCCTTGGGATGGAGGAACAGAATTGGGCTGGGGTTGTCTGGAGTCCACCCCCTTTGCTCAATCTCTGTCCTCTGCTCCTGGATTTGTGGTAGAGGGGGGCGCGGCTCCCGGCTACAGGGGGTGGAGCCGAGAGGGCCGAAGGTTACCCTCTTGTTTGGGCGCCTGGGTCCATCGGGCTGACTGGATACCAGGATGGACGAGTGAGGAGAAGGAAGGCAGCTTCCGGAGGGCCTAGGGTGGGGTTGAGGATTGGGAGGGTCCCTGCTGCGCTCTAGCGGGCTTGTCGAGGAGGGGACGGGGTTGCGGAACCGGAGAGCGAAGCTTGGGCACTGGGGCTGCGGGAGGGAGAAGCTGAGAAAGGTGTCGAGCTCACGTCAGATCCTGGGGACGGGCGAAGGGAGGGGCCTGGAATTTATCTGCGGAGGAGGGAGGAGGAGGAAGTGCAGATGGAGGAAGGAGGGCTCATGAGCCAAGACCGTAATCCTCACCCCCGCGGCCTCTAGGGAAACCAAAGGAAACTCTGGTCCCAGCAGTAATTAGACTCCCCTCCCCGCCACCCCCCCCCGCCATTCCAGCACATCTGGAATCTGAATCTTCTCTTCTCAGGGAAGCGGGAAGCAGCATAGCTTGGTTCGCGCCTGCTTGACCCCCAATATGTCCTCTGTCCACATCCGGACCCCCATAGGACTTCCTTTTGCCTTTTACAGAAGCTCGGGTGGAATGGGCTGTCCCCTCCCTCGGGAGAATGGCGAGTTTCCACGTTTGTGAGAAGGGGTGACAGGCTGGGGTCTGGGGAGGAGAGACCCTTTCCCACATACAATACGAGCCCGGTCAGCTACCGGGCAGTTTCAACTCATTTTCTCGTGCGATCTCTCTCACTATGCTTTGGAAACGCCCTTTTCAGCACCATCAGTGTGCGGACAGCTCCTCTCGGCCCCGCCTACGCGGCCGGCTCGGCGCGGCCGGCGATTGGCTGAAGCCGCTTTCACTATCAATCAGGCCCTCGCCAGGGGATGGCTCCTGTGAAGGCCAAAGGGAGGGGGGTGTCACAGGCCGACTTCAGGGACCCGCAGACCTACCCACCGGCCGCGGCGTCCCAGCCGGCAGTCCCGGAGTGCTGGCCCGGTCCGCCAGTCCGCACTCTCGCTCCGCCCCCTTGATTTGCCCCGCCCCCGTTCAGGCCCCGCCCCTTCTTTTCGCATTGCAGGGCGACTGGGGGTTGGCACTGAGCCCTCAACACCCCACGTGGCGCCCGGTCAGGCTTGGGGCGGGGGCAGTGAGGCAAATCCAGAGAGGAGGTTCCCCCCCACACCTCGGCCGGGGCTGAGTTGCGGCTGCTACCAGGAGGTGTCGGGGGTAGCTAAGCATAGAGGGCTGCGGGAAGGAGTGACGTCAGGGTGAGTGGGAGCCAAGGAAGGAGCGTGTAGGAGAGAGGGAATGAGAGAGAGAGGCAGGACCGGCAGGTCGGGTCGAGTGAGAAGCGAGGGCAAGAAGGAGAGAGGCGGGAGGAAGGAGAGAGAGAGGCTGCCACGGAGGAAGACAGGCTCCGGGGTCCTGGGTCTGCAGGTCCAGGTGGGGTAGGAACTGCTACTCGAAGAAGCTAGAAGGATAAAGGGGGAGAGAGGGAGCTAAAGGAGGGGCGAAGGGTGGAGAAAGGAGAAGAAAGGAGAGTGGGAGACTGAGGGTGGAGAGGGGAAAGGCAGAGAGAGACTGCCGGAAGGAGTCAAAAGGGGGTGGGGGGACGATAGAGAGAAGAAAGGAGAGGAGAATGATCTAGAGAGGGGAGACAGTTGAATGGAGAAAGAAGAGGTAGAAAGAGGAGAGAGAGCTAAGGGAAAAGGAAAGGAGGGTTTGAGGTACCTGAAGGAGAGACACAAAGTGAAGAGATCATCTTAGAACGAGAGAAGGAAGCAAGAGTGGAAATGTGGAAGGGAAACGGCCTAGGAGGGAAGCAGGAAGCAGCCATAGAGGGGACAGGTAGAGAACTGGGGGGACAGGGGAACTGGGGCCTGGAAGATGCCCCGGGCCTCTTGGCCAGGGCCTCCTTGCCTATCATGTTCCCATGGCCACTGCCCCTGACCTCTTCAGCCCTTACCTTGCTCCTTGGAGCCCTCACTTCTCTGTTCCTCTGGTACTGCTACCGCCTGGGCTCCCAAGACATGCAGGCCCTGGGGGTTGGGAGCCAGGCTGGGGGTATTAATGGTGGACCTGGGGGATGTCCTGAGGCTGGCAGGTCAGGCCCAAGAAGCTGTGGGGAGCCTGGGGAAGGACCTGGTACAGAAGGCCTAGTGAGCCGTCGGCTTCGAGCCTATGCCAGACGCTACTCCTGGGCTGGGATGGGTAGGGTGAGACGGGCAGCTCAGGGAGGCCCAGGCCCTGGAAGAGGGCCAGGAGTCCTGGGCATTCAGCGCCCAGGTCTGCTTTTTCTACCAGACCTGCCTTCAGCCCCCTTTGTGCCGCGGGATGCCCAGCGGCACGATGTGGAGCTCCTAGAGAGCAGCTTCCCTGCCATTTTGCGGGACTTTGGGGCTGTCAGCTGGGACTTCTCAGGTTCTACTCCTCTGCCTAGGGGCTGGTCCTCGCCCCTGGCCCCTGGGTGCTACCAGCTCCTGCTATACCAAGCAGGCCGGTGCCAACCCAGCAACTGCCGTCGGTGCCCTGGAGCCTATCGGGCACTGAGGGGGCTGCGGAGCTTCATGAGTGCCAACACCTTCGGCAATGCTGGCTTTTCTGTCCTCCTGCCTGGGGCCCGGCTGGAGGGCTGCTGTGGGCCCACCAATGCTCGGGTCAGATGCCATCTGGGTAAGTAGATACCGCCGACAGACAACTTGCTTGCCTCTACAGTTCCCCTTCCACACCCACCCTCTACTTTTCAGGGCCTTCACCTTGAGCCACCTCACCAGCCCTTTTTTGTGATGGGTTTTTCCGAGATAGGGTCTTGAAAACTATTTGCCCAGGTTGGCTTTGAACTTAGATCCTCCTGATCTCTGCCTCCTGAGTAGCTGGGATTACAGGCATGGGCCACTAGCACCTGACTCCACCAGACCTTTCTACACTGCGATTCTCCTCATGCCTCTTCTCAGAAATCCCGACTCCCTGTTGCCCACCACAGCATTTCCTGAGCTTCACTTATCTGCAAGCTATCCTCATAAGCAGTGCCATAGTCACTGGCCGTCTGTATGGTTTCTTCCCGTTCACTCTTTCCCTACCTTTGGTCTTATTGAAAAGGACTCTTTATGGAACTGTAAGTAATCATCAGTATTACTCTAAATAGAAAGTAATCATAAAATCAAATTTAAACTTGAGACTGGAAGCATGGCTTAAGGGCTACAGCACCTACCTACCAAGTGTGAAGCCCTGAGTTCAAACCCCAAAACCACCAAAAAAAAAAAAAGAAGGCCTTGAGCTATGTTGGCTCAAGCTTGTAATCACAGCACTTAGGAGGATGAAGCAGGTGGATTGTGAGTCAAGCTGAGATATGTAGCAAGACCCTGTCCCATCTCAAAAAAAAAAAGCGTTAAACATTCTAATTAAATGCTCTAGATGCTCCATGCCAGAAGCCTACACTCCCTTCATTGATAAGATACCAATGTGAGGTTTCAGTCTCAGTAGCACTAACCTGAGACTTTCTTTTTGGTGGCACTAGGATTTGAACTCAGGGCTTCAGGCTTATTAGGCAGGCACTCTACCACTTGTCATACCTCCAACCCTTTTTGTTCTGATTATTTTGGAGATAGGGTCTCAATTTTTGCCCAGAGGGCCTGGACCACAATCCTATTTTACACTTCCTCCCATTGCTCGGATGGCAGACATGCACAACTATGTCCAGCTTTTTCCTGTTGAGAAGGAGTCTTGCAAACTTCTTTCTGCTGGGCTGGCTCAGAACCACAATCCTCCTGATCTCAGCCTCCCTTGTAGTGTGGGATGACATGTGTGCACCAGCATGCTATTGGTTGATATGAGGTCTCATGAACTATTTGCCTGGACTGGCCTCCAACTGAAGTTTTTCCAGTCTCAGCCTCCCAAGTAGCTAGGATTATAGGTGTGAGCCACTGGTACCTGGCTGAGATTTTCTTTTTGATGTTCTAAAGATTGGGGCTGGAAGTGAGGCTCAAGAAGTAGAGCACCTGCCTCACAAGCCTCGAGTTCAAACTCCAGTATTGCCAAAACAAAGAAAGACTGAAAAAAAAAATGGTAAAGAAATCAAATTTGATTGTTATTCCATGCCATGACCTTGGTTCATCCAAAATCATCTGGTGTTAAAAAAAAAACAAGGAAGAAAAAAAAAATGCTGCAGAGTGGCTCAAGTGGTAAGAGTACCTGCTTAGCAAGTATGAGGCCCTGAGTTCAAACCCTAGTGCCACCAAAAAAATAAATAAATAAAAATAAATAAATCTGCTCTGCTGCCAAGTAGATGTGTCCTGCACTGCACTTCAGGGCACCTTGACCTCAGGTCATGCTCTGGATCATGGAGGCCTTTTGCCTGATCCCACCGATGCCACGCCTACCCTTTATCACTACCTAGAAAATTCCTTCTGGGTGCTTTTCAAATGCCACACCTCCTCCTGGATGCTTTCTTGTTCCCTACCATTTGAGTTGGTGGCTCTGTGGTCCTGGGACCAGCATGGAGTTGCTAGTCAACCTCATGGGGAGACAGCGCCCAGCACATAATAGATTCTGGAGTTGAATTATCAGGAAAGCCCAGGAGAGGGCACTTCTTTTTTCTCTTAAAATGACAGAACAGCTTCCCACAATCCTTCTCCCATCTCCTGTCACTTCTTTCATCCATATTGGGATTATACTCTGGTCACCTTCCAGCGAGCAAGGAAGGATCACCACAGAACTTGGCCTTTAAGGCCGTTTCATCTGCTGACTGCTGGTGGTTCCCTTGGACAGAGGCAGGAATGTTGGATGCTGGTCTCTTCCCACAGGCCTGAAGATCCCCCCTGGCTGTGAGCTGGTGGTTGGGGGTGAGCCTCAGTGCTGGGCTGAGGGACACTGCCTCCTGGTGGACGACTCCTTCCTGCACACAGTGGCTCATAATGGTAAACGGCTCCCACTCTGCTAGGGTGGGGATGTGGGATGAAAAAGGGACCTACAGGGTTGCAGAACAGGGCCCAGCTGATTTCTGTCCCAGCAGCACCATTTTCAGTTGCATGGCTTTGAACAAGTCGTGTAAAACTTCTCCAAACCACTGGGACAACCACCTCCTTTATAAGTGACTGAAAGGTTCAGTAAGTTCACGTGGAGGCACACATCGTGGTTACCAGCACAGCGCTTTGCGCTTGAATCACCTGGGCTCCTGTCCTACGTCTTGCATTTAGGAGCTACGGGAACTTGGGCAAGTCACTCAGCCTTGTTGTGCCTCAGTGTCTTTGTATAAAATGGGGAAAACCATGGCACTACCTCATAGTTCGTTTTGATGATTAAGAGTTCACACATATAAAGGGTCAGAACAATGCTGGGCATATTGTTTCACACCTGTAACCCCAGCACTCAGGAGGCTGAAGCAGAAGGATCATGAGTTCAAGGCCAGCTTGGCTATATAACAAGACCCTACCTTAGAAAACATCAAACCAGGGTTAAAAGAGGACCTGGCACTTATACCTTTTTTGTTTTTGAGGTTATAGTACTGGGGTTTGAACTCAGGACCTCAAACTTGCTAGGCAGGCACTCTGCCACTTAAACCATGTCTCCAGCCCTTTCTGCTTTAGTTATTTTTCAGGTACGGTCTTGCATTGTTTTGCCCAGGCTGCCCTGGATCTCCATCATCTTACCTGGATCCTCCCTCCTAGCTTGGATGACAGGCATGCATGCACCACTATAGCCAGCTTATTTGTTGAGATGGGTCTTAACTTTTTTGCCAGAGCTGGCCTGGAATCAAGATCCTCCTGATCTTTGCCTCCTAGACACCTGGGATTACAGACATTAGTCGCCACACCTGGCTTACCGCTTGCTTTTGAGTATCTAGTGAGTGCTTTGCAGGTAAGTACTTGATGCCAACTGCTCTGTCTTTATCCCCATGTGTCCTAGGCTCCGCAGAAGATGGGCCTCGAGTGGTCTTCATCGTGGACCTTTGGCACCCCAATGTGGCTGGGGCGGAACGCCAGGCCCTTGACTTTGTCTTTGCACCGGACCCTTGAAGGAAAGTGTTCCCTTCAGACATCTGGGCTAGAGACACTGCTCTGGGAGACAACTTGAGTGGCGGCCAGGACCTCCTCTCTACTTCAGGGGGTGGGAAGGGATGTTGTGGGTATTGCCCAGTGAGCACTGAAATATAAATTCTGAATTCTCTTCCAGCTCCTGACTACTTCCTTCCCAGAGAAGGTCTTGAGGGCAGGGGGTCATGCGTTTTGTCATAAGACTAGTTAGGTATCTCTGACACAAGTCATCTTCTTGTCACTCTCCCTGAGAGCCAGCAGCAGACCCTAAACTCTTTATTTCAATAATTTAATAGAAAGTTAAAATAATAAATAATACAAAACAGAAGAAGAAGGTAACTGAGCTGGCACGGACCCAGATCAGACTAGTATAAAGTTAAGGAGGTAGGGAAAATGGAGAGGGCAGGAAGGAGGCAAACTACCTGTGCAAAGTGGGAGGTGGCTCAGAGTGTGGTAGATGTTAACTAAGGGTAGCTCACACTTGGATGTGTACAGAGTACTAAAAAAGAGAAAGGAATTCTAAATTGTTCTCAACCAACTGGTGAAGGAAAGATCACAAGACATGAATAGGAGGGGAGAATGGCCTTTTGAAGAGATCTGCCTGAGGGGAGGGACTGGAATGTACCGTATTGTTCCCAGTAAGTCATGCTATGAGGGGGACAGAAGGAAGACCCACGACTTGGCCAGCAGAGCCGTGGCAAAAGTCTGGAGGGGAGAAAAAGAGAGGGGGATTGGGTCCCACAAGCAGGAGGAAGGGATGGGGAGAGTCTAAAGTCAGTCCTTGAAGACAATTTGTTGGCCATGAGGACGCTCATCATGGGTAATGTGGCGCCGGACGTGGATCCTCCTCACCCGGTGCTCTCGGTTCTCTTCATCTTCCCCTCGGCCTGCCCCACCACCTCCAGCTGCACCCCCTGTGGCCTCCAGGAGGGCCGGGTCTGGACCCCGGGGAGTCTCATAGATCAGGATGTTCAGGGTCTCCTCGAAGATCCGGGCCTCTGGGAATTCCACCTGCAAAAGGCCGGCAGCCCCAGCTCCTACCCTCAGGTCTAGTCCCAAAGCCCCTTCCCCAGCGCTCTGTGTTAGCGCCCTCCCAATCTCTGTTCAGGCTCTCAGGTCAGGCAAGTGGGATGTTTTATTTTCTCTCCTTCACTGCCAGGTCTCTTGGCATGTTCTCTCATTTGACAAATACTATGTGACTGCACTATCCCAGGTGTTGTTTGAGGCACTGGGCGTACAGCAGTGAACAAAACAGACAAAAGTGCCTACCCTCAGGAAGTTGATTGTCCAGGGGGCAGGACTCAGATATGCATACAATAAACCTCGTCAGATGATGACAAATGTTGCGCACAAAGGTAAGTGGGAAAATGGGGCTGAGCATGGCCACGGCCAAGAGAGTTAGATCTTGCAGGAGGAAGTTCAGGTTAGGCCTTCCTGGGAAGGTGGTATTTCACCAAAGTGGGGAGAGAGGTGGATAGTGAGAAGGAACAGACTGGGGAGTGGCAAAGGCAAGTGAAAAAGCTTTGGGTCATGGATGTGCCTAGGGTATTAGCCAGAGATCAGCAAGGAGGCCAATGCCGTTGAGGCAGAGCGATGGAGAGACAGAATGAAGTCCAAGAAGTTAGGGCATTCCACTTGCATAGGTTTTTTTTTTTTTTTTTTATTGGCACTGAGGATTCAACCCAGGGCCTCTTGTGCTAGGCAAGTGCTTTATCACTGAGCTATACCCTCATCCCTTTTAATTAATTACTTAATTTTCAGACAGTCTTGTAAGTTCCCCAAGCTGGCCTTGAACTTGTGATCCTCCTGCCTCAATCTCCTGAGTAGCTGGGATTATAGGAATGTACCACCATGATCAGCTGAACATAGCTTTTAACAAGCTGGGTTTTCGTTGTTGTTTTGTTTTTTATTTGGAGGTACTAGGGTTTGAATGCAGGACCTTACCCTTGCCAGGCAGGCACTCTACCACTTGAATGACACCCCTAGCTCTTTTTGCTTTAGGTATTTTTTGAATAGGGTTTCACATTTATGTCCAGACTGACCTGAACTGTGATCTCCTATTTATGTTTCCTGTGTAGTAGCTGAGATGACAGGCATGCACCACCAGACCCAACTTTTTATTAGTTGAAATGGGGTTCACACTGCCCAGGCTGGCCTTGAACCTTGATCCTGAGTAGCTAGTATTACAGGTGTGAACCACCGTGCCCAGCTAACAAGCTGTATTCTAATGACTGGTTTATCTTCCTGTCTTCCCAACTACAAAAGAAACCTCCTGGAAGCACAGTCATTCATTCATTCATTTGTGGATTCCCCATTCATTCTACCAATGTTTTTCAGCTTCCATTGTGTGGCAAGGCTAGTGCTAAGGAGACAGGAAAGGAAAAAGGTCCAGCATTGCCTTGTATGCCATGCCCCCAACCCACAGACTATGATAACCACTGTCTCTAGTTAAAAAGGGAGTGTGACCAACTTTGGGGTGGTTGGATTGAAAGTTCATGAGTAAAGGTGGCCCAAAGAAAGTGATACTTGGCTTGTGTCTTAAAGATTAAATACAAGGGAGGGGGGAAAAGAAGAGGAGTGGAGGGGTGAATTCAAGTATGATACATTTGATACATTCTAAGAACTTCTGTAAATGCCACAATGTACCTCCACCCAGCACAATAAAAAAAAAAGAGGGAGATTAAGTACAAGTTTCATTAAGAAGACAGGGAGGAAAAAAATTCCAGGAAGAGGGAACAGTGGGTGCTTAGAGTTGGCAATAATCACGGTGTACCTGAGGCATGTCCCTTTATAGAGGAGGAGCCTGCACTCTTCTTACTGGGGATCTCGTGCCTGTGATTCTGAGCCTGTGTAGTGCTTAGTGCAAAGCAGGTGCTTGAGAAGTATTTGCTGAGGACTGCCAGGTTCATGAGTCAGGAACCACAAGCTCAGAACCTGCAGTTCTGGGGTTTTAAGAACTTATTTTTGTTTGGGCATGGTTGTGCATGCCTGTAATCCCAGGACTTGGGAGGCTGAGGCAGTAGGACCTCAAGTTTGAGACCAGCCTGAACTACAAAGGGAGACCCTGTCTCAAAAAAAAGAAAAAAAAAAAAAAAAGCTAGGGATATAGTTCAGTGGTAGAAGTAGAGAACTTAAGAGGCCTAAGAGGCCTTGGGTTCAATCCTCAGTGTGTGTGTGTGGGGGAGTGGGAACTTCCATTAAAAAAACCCAGCAATCTATTAATGGACCCTTCAGAGATCTAAAGATGACCACAGACCTTCTATACAGAAAAATGCACATGCACCTCCAAACCTGTAAACCACTTTAGGGGATTGCAGATAGCCTTGAAAACACCCAACGGTCCTAGGTTAAGAACTCTGTTCTGCATGAAGCCCTGGGTTCATCCCTAGCACCAAAACCAAACAGAACCCAGCTCTAGTCTAAGAGCCTCATTTCACAGGTAGAGAAAGTTACATAGTCAAGACCCCAGAACTCCTTAAGGCCCTGACTCTCACTTGAAGGACTTTCCCTGCCTGACTGCTGAGCTGTCTCTGTCCAGGGTTCTGGTCCTGCCCACCCCCACGCCCTCTGACCTTGGTCTGTTTCTTCTCCGTGGCATACACAATGGAGGTGCAGCACACCTCGGCGATTTTGCGGCCCTGCCCGTAGAAAGACCAGCAGCAGATCTCGTCCCCCAGGACATCCTTGAGAAAGAGCAGCCGCCCGTGGAAGCGCAGGGCCAGCTTGTCAAACAGCTCGATGTTCTTAAGTAGGTTGTCATCTGAAGTGCTGAGGACCAGGGAGCCAGCAGGCCTCAGCATGAAGGGCTTCCTCTACTCCACCCATCCCCCCAGAGGGGCCCTGGACCTAGCAAATCCTGCCCAGCAGGGAGCCTCCAGTTTAGCAAATCTCAGCACAGCACAACCGCTCCTGGGGCAGGGCAGGCTCTAAACCCAGCTGCCTCACCTGGCATTCCAGCTCCACCACTTTTTCACTGAGTGACACTAGGCAAGCTACTTTCACCTCTCAGTGCTTCAATCTCATCTGTAGATGGAGAGCACAACTCCTCCATCAGACCACTGAGGAGATTGGGTAAATTAAGAGACTGAGAGCAAACCTGTTGGAAAATAAGCACCTAGTCCGTGCTAGCCATTAACATTTAGTCCCCACCTAAACACTGCTTGTGGATAAACTGAAGCTCAGAAGGGAAAAGACCTGTCCAAGTACCCAGGGGGCAAGTGGCAGAGCTGGAATGTGGCAGGCATTCCCTGGTCTCTACTTGTGACCAGCCCTCCCCCAGGCTAGGAGCAGACCTATGCAACCCCAGCCAGGATTCTGCTCTGTGTGCACACACACGTGCACATTTACACACTTCCGTCCCCAACAGCAGTCACCTGGTGTAGGAGTACTTGTTGTTACTGCGGTTGTGCAGCAGCTTCACCACGGGCTGTGGGGGGAGAGGAGGATGAGGTCAGACCTCGGACTGCAGGGAGAGCTCCTCAGCCTCAGCCTCCACCCCATAGGACTTGGGAGGGCCTCACCTTGGAGGTGCTGGCCAGGAGCTGCTGCTCCTCCCGGGGAGATGTCACCGTGGGGATGAGGCACAGCGGGGACAGGTTCTCCCTCTTTTGCTGGGGAAGAAGCGGAAGGTAGTTAACAGCATAACCAGAGGTCACTCAAGACCCCTTAAAAGCCTTGAAGAGGCCCTTATGGCCCTTGATGAGGATAGGGGGAATCCAGACTTAGTGGTTCACAAGGCTCTGCAGGATGTGACCTGTGCTGACCTCTCCCATCTCAGTTCTCCCCTGGCTAGCTTGGCTTCTGACCCCTACCTGCCTTGTTCCTTCTGCACATCTAGCTGTGCCCACTGTGACCCTGGGCTATTTCCCTGGCTGGGATGCTCTTCACTCAGCTGTGTGCATGGCTGGCTCCTTTGTGCCAATCAGATCTCCAATCTTCACACAGTGCCAGCCCTGGGTGCCCTGGCTAGCATAGCCTCCTCTGCTTTCTCCTTCTCACAGTATAGGTTCATTTTCTTCATAGCACTTAGTTCCTGGCATTTTCTAAGGTTTTGTATATTTGTTTATAATCTGTCTCTTCCTATCTGGAGAGTAAATGCCTATTACATAGATGATGGGCAGTAAAATAATTGTTGAATGAGGTGGGTTGGTTGGGATGAGGTTGGAGATTCAGAATCAGATAGATGGTTTCTTTCTCTTGTCTATCTCATAGCATCTTCACAATAAAACCTCACTTAACTCTCCCAAACTTGAAAAGTAAATGTACAATTCTAATATAAATTTCAGAAACTGTTTTAGGAGAAATCCTGAGACTTTTCAAAAATTAACATGGAAGGCCAGGCACAGTGGCATGTGCCTCATAGACACAGGGGACAAGGTTGGGGCTTGGAAGACTGCTTGAGCCCAGGAGTTCAAGACCAGCCTAAAAACACGGCTAGATCCCAGACTCAAAAAAAAAATTTTTTTTTAAAAATGGAATAAAAGTCTACAATTACTTAGGTCAATTGTTAAAAATAACAGCATCAACACTACTAATTAAAATACAATACAAATCCATAATGATGAAAACAGTGTAGTTCTGGTGCAGAAACAAGTAAAAACCCAACTGAGCACACAAAGTGCAGAAACAGATGTGTGTGTGTGTCAACTAGTGTTTTATAAGAGACATCACAAATAAGCAAGGGAACAGTATGGGGGTGTGTATTAGTTATCTATTCCTGTATAAACTGCCTCACAGTTAGCAGTGTAAATTAACAAAAATTATTATTATTTCAGTGTCTGTGGGTCAGGAAGTAAGAAGAGGCCTAACCAGGTGGTCTGGCATGGGTTCTTGTAAGGGTGTGCTCAGTGGAGGGCTACCAGCATCTGAAGGCACCATTGCTCCTGGGGCAATTTCTGGGAAAGTTTCTTCATATGGCTGGTAAATTCATACCTCCTATTGTCAGGAGGCCATGTGGACCTCTCTATAGGTTGTCCCCATGGCACAGCATGGCATTCTGGCTTCTCCAGAGCAATTAATTGAAGAGAGAGCAAGGTGGAGGTCTCACTGCCTTTTGACATATAGCTTCATCAGCCCTGTTCACTGTGGAATGTGATGACACAGTGGGCAAAAATCATTGGGGGCTGCCCTGGAGGCCAGCTCCACAGTCCACCCACTGGTCCCCCACTGACTCACATACAAAAAAAACACCACCTCCCTAGATCCCCCAAAATCTCACTCCCATTACAGCAGCAGCTCAGAGTACAGAATGCTGTCATCTAAACCCAGTCAGGGTGGGAATGAGGCTACCTGGGTGCAGTTCCCTAACTACAGCTCCTGAAGGACATTTAAGGCCTGTAAATGAGAGACAAGTTGTCTCCTTCAAATGTGCAATGGTGGACAGACACAAGATGACCACTAGGGACACTCTTGTTCAAAAGGGAGTGAAACAGGAAGCACACAGAAGTCACTGGTCCCAGAGATTTTGCAATACACTTGGACAAAGGTTGGGAATGCTTTGATGCCCATCAGTGAAGCCACATGATTCTGTGGCTTCTATGCCCTAAGCCATCCTTCCTGTCCATGAGAGATGTTCAAAGCTCCGCTGTTTCCTCAGCCTGTTCTCTGTAGAAGTTAGTGTATCGAGAGCTGGAGGTGTGGCTCAAGTGGTAGAGCGCTCTTAAGTTCAAACCCTTGTACAGGGAGATGGGGGAAAGGGCCAGAAATGAAATTTGAGTGTTGAAAGGCCTCCTTTCCTTTTGCTCTGGCTCTGTTCCTTTCAGTACAAGTTGGTAGTGTTTCTGCCAATAAAATTCTCTTTAATACTCTTGAGTGTCTTCTAAGCCTTGGGGTTCACTTTGTAAGAAAAAAAGCCAAAAACTCTGCAAGATAAGGGCTTCTCTATTTTGGGCTTGTGTTCAGGCTACTGAGAGACCACACCTCAGGCTTCTCACAAGTGCTATTATTTGGGTGAGTGTGGTGTTGCATGCCCATAATCCCAGCACTAGGGAAGCTGAAATAGAAGAATGGGTTCAAGGCTAGCTTGACTCAGTCTCCAAAAAAAAAAAAAGACGTGCTGGGGGCGTGGCTCAGGTGGTAGAGCACCTGTTAGCAAGAATAAGGCCCTGAGTTCAAACCCCAGTCCTTCAAAAGAAAAAAGAAGCCCTTTTATTTGATTGAATGGCTCTCTTAGATATTCTGAAATCTTAACAAAGGACTTTAGAGTTACATTCTTGGATTCACCTTTCAACCATGTTTTCCTGAGGATGCCCTGTATTTATCTTTGCCTTTAACATATTAGTTATTTGGAGAGGCTGGGATTTTCAATCCCAAGTTTGTTCAATTCTTTCCTCTTTAGCTTCCTTCTACTCTTCTTAGTATAAGCAGTATGAAACCAGGTGGCACCTTCAACATTCTGTGTGGAAATCACCTCAGCTCGGGCACCCAGGTTTCTTTTTTTCTTTTTAGGTGTATTTTCTATTTTCTACATTACTGTAGGAGACAATGCTGCTAAACTTTCTGCCACTCCATAACCAGGATTCCTTTCCATTGTTCCCAGTAACATTTTCCTACTATTTTTTTTAACTCTTCACTGCTGCCTCCCTCCTCAAAGCCACCAGATTTTTATTAACAGACTCAGAGCTTTTTACTAACATTCTCCTCAAAGTCCTTCTACTTCTCAGTTCTAAAACTACTTCCACATTTTAGATTTTTGTTTTAAAAGACTCCCCACTCCAGAGCTCAGTCTGTTATCTCTTGCTGGGTAACAAATTATTAGACTTGGCAGCTTAAAACAACAGCAAACATTTACTATCACACACACTTTCTGAGGGGTAGGAATTTAAGACTGGCCTAACTGGGTGGTCCTGGCCCAGGAGCTCTCATAGAGTTGCAATCCAGATGTTGGGCAGGGCTGCATCATCTGAAGATTTGACTGGGTCTTGAGGATCTACTTCTGAGCTGGTTCACCCATATGGCTATAATTTGTGCTAACTGTTGGCGGGATGATTCCATTCCTCACCAGTGCACCTCTCCCAAGAGCAGCTTGAGCTCCTCACATAATGACTGGCTTCTCAGAGTGAATGATTCAAGAGAGAGGCAGCTTCAAAAGTCACACACTAAAATTTTTGTAGCATCTAGTTATATATATTAACCCTATTTGGTGTGGATGGGGACACAAAAAGAGTCTGAATACCAAAAAGCAAGAATCATTGGGTGGTTGTAATTATTATACAACCCTAGTGAAATCACTGATTCAGGCAAGGATTATTAATTGGCGTGTTCTTGATAGTTAACTGCCCAAATTAATACCACACAGATGACTTTATAGCTGGCAACATAAAATGTAACTACAGTGGAGGCATCAAACACCATCACCTGAATCCAAGGCCCAGTTCATTATCAATGAGGGGTCATGTCAGCACTATCGTGAGTCTCTTTATTGAACACAATATGAAATATATAACACTACCTAAAATGTGTTCTAACCAAATGTTTAATATCAAGCCTTTAAATTTACAGTCTAATTTACAGGAAATTCAGGATAGGGCAGAGTAACAAACTAAATGATACCAGGACTAAACAACCAGACAAATTTATAAGCAGGTCTGAGTGGGACAACTGCAGTATCATTAACAAGTCAGCATCATTAGGAAAAGGTACTGTTTCAAATTGGAAGAGACTTATAGAACATAAAAACCAGACGTAAGGCAAGGATCTAAACTGTATTCTGGCTTAGGCGAACTAGCTATCAAAAACATTTCTGGAACAATTGGAAAAACTGGAGTATGCCCTGGATGTTAGGTTAAAACTTTATTGATATGGAAAGATGGCAATTATTAACAATGACAAAAACAAGTAGCTTACAAAACAGTACAGACAATATGACTTGTATTTTAGCAAACAAACACATACGTGTGCACACATACATGCGTGCACACACACACAAAACACCTGGAAGAATTTTTTGGTTATTTGTGTTTCCTATATTTCTACAATTAATTAATGCTGCTTTAAAATTTTTAAGTAGTCATTTGTATTTAAAAAAAAAAAAATCAAGATTTCTTTTTTTTTGCCGTACTGGGGTTTGAACTCAGGGCCTATACTGAGTCACTCCACCACCCCTTTTTTGCAATGGGTTTTTTTGAGTAGGGTCTCACAAACTATTTGTCCAGGCTGGCTTCAAACTGCAGTCCTGATCTCTGCCTCCTGAGTAGCTAGGATTACAGGCATGAGCCACTAGCAAAAAATCAAGGATTTTTGTGGGTTTTTTTTTTTTTTTTTTTTTTGTGGTACTGGGGTTTGAATGCAGGGCCTCACACTTGCCAGACAAGTGCTCTACCACTTGAGTCACATCCCAGCCCAACCAAGGATTTTTATTTCACACCAGATACAACAGATTGGAGACATTCTAAGAAAAAATACAGACAATATCTAAAACTAACTACAAATTTTTATCTAAGATGGACTTTCTAGATTGGGGTTCTTCATCTAATCTCAAAACCCAACAAATAATTTGATAATTTGAGGGTTTTTTTTGAGACACGGTCCCACTCTGTAGCATAGGCTAGCCTTGAACTCCCAATCTTCCTGCCTCAAACTCCCCAGTGCCAGATTACTAGTGTATGCCACACCTGGCAATGTGAGTAGTTTCTGAACTCTTCTAAGTACAGTAGATAAATAGCATCATCCTAGATGCTATAGAAAAAGTTAATTGTATACAACACATGTCTTAAGCATGTATATACATACCTTATGTAACAGGGCTTTAATTCTCCCTAGAAACTAAACTAAAATATGCCAGGATCTCCTGCCAAGTAACAAGAGGAAGACAGGAAACTCAGTAAAAAATGTAATAATATCAATTAGCTCCATGTGCACAGTGGTGCACACCTGCAATCTCAGTACTCAGGAGGCTGAGGCAGGAGGATCTCGAATTTGAGGCGAGCTTAGGCGACATAGTGAGACTGTCTGAGACAGAAATATGAATAAGTAATTTACAGAAGGGAAAACCAAAAAAGCTACAGACTATGTGTACAAAAAGCTGCTCAATGTCATTAGTAATTAGAGGTACGTGAGGTAAAATGAGGTTACACCGTTAGACTGGCAAAATTAGGAAGGCAGAGGGTGGCACATTATTGAGAATTGCAGATATGGGGTCTCTTATGCACTGCCAGTTATGAATAAGAAGTGCTATACTAGTTGGAGGAGCAATCTGATAGTATTTATTAAAATTTGGTTTGTTTGTGTCCCAATAGCCATTAATTCTCTCAGCTACCATTATGTGAAACTCTGGTATAGGACTATAAGGGGGCATGTACAAGAAGGCTCATGGTGGCACTGTTTGTGGGAGGGCAGAAAGTGGAAGGCAATCTTTCTCCAACTTCAGGAGCACATCTAAATAAACGATGGTGAGCAGCACCACAGATTCCAGTGAAGCAGTTAGAAGCAAAACAATAGCATGAATAGATCTTAAAGAAAAGTACTGAATGGAAAATCTATGGAACAGAACCAAACCACAGCTCAATGCCATTTGTGGAAATTTAAAAATGCATACATATACAAAATAGTGCCTAGTCTGTTCAAGGGTACAAGCACAATTGAAGCATATCAAAACATTACAATTGAACAGGTCCCCTAGGGGAAAGGGAAGTGGGTAGGGAATTGGGAATAAAGGGACAACAATAAAATAGAAAGGGAAAAGATTTGAACAGATCAATGACAACTGTGTGCCATATCCTGAGGAGTGTGCTAAGCTGTGGGAGGTGGGGATGGGGAAGGTCTCAAGGAAATCTAGAATGTGGAAGAAAAGCATCATACTAGGGAGTAAGATAACAGTTTGGACCTGCCTCTTACTTCCTCATTGACCCTGGATACATCATCCATCTTCCTTCATGTTTCTTTTTATGTCAACCAAGGGTACAAGATGTATACACAAGCAGAGAAGACACAGTGGATGTGCAATAACATTACCTCAATTTGAAATTATAGTGCTGGAATGTACTTCCAAGATCTAGTTCCATGTTTTTCAAACAGCAGTGGCAACTCACTAATGGGCCATTAGTTTAATGGGTTTCAAACAGTATTAGAAATAAAGAAAAAGAGGGAGGGAGGGAGGAAGGAAACAGAATATACCAAAGTATATTCCACTAGAAGTATCCTTTCATAAAATTCTAGATTCAGTTATACACACAGTATAAAATGCATTTTCCCACCCTATGAACTAGTTAAAAAGTTTGAAAACATGGATATTCTCCAAAGGAATTCTATACCTTTGTATTTCAAGGGGCAATAAATATTCCCTAAGAGAAGAAAAAGTTGTTCAGTCACCACTTTTTTAATCCACAAAGGGCATTAAAAAAGAAATTCTTATCATCTCCTATTACTATTGTATCATAAAGAAAAAAACATTTTAACATTGTAAAAACTGAACAGAATAAAAGGGCTTCTGTAAAACTCATTACATTGTATTTAGTTTGATTCTTTATCTTTTGGAACATAAGAACAGAAAGCAGAGGTAGGAAGTGACTGGCTCAAGGTTGCTCAGTCAGCTGTGGCAGAGGTGACCCAGGACCCCTGAGTGCTGGTGGTGCTTTCCAAGCCCGGCTCCTCAGAACTAGAGCCAAGCAGATAGGGCTTTGGGACCCCTATTCCCCTCACCCTGCCCCAACCTTCTTTGGCCCTGCTTCTGTGAGATTTCATGTAAGGAAGGGAAAAAAAAAGCCCTTAAGGCCTGAGAGAACGCTGCCTCCCAGGACAGGGCCAGATGGTGGAGATTATCATATTCTAACTGAAATTTACACACACACACCCCAGTGCCACAGGACTTCTGAGCAAGGGAGACAACAGACTGGGGCTGTGTTTAAGCATAAATCCTCAGGTGGTCAGGTAATAGCTGGGTTGGCTGGGGAGGAAGAGCAAGAAGCTGACACCCTGTGGTGGGCAAGCTGTCTGAGGCAACCTGAATGCACAGGACGGTACCTCCAAATTCTTTGGGGCTATGTCCAGTAAAAGCTAGGCCCTCTAGGCTAGATCCTGTACCTCTTTTTTTCCTGCCCTAATGCTAACTGCTGGGGAGTTCTTCAGGTGCATGGACTTTGAAACTCAGGAGGTGGAGGAGGACCCTCACCTGCAGTGCCAGCTGGCAGTCCTCAATCAGGCCCTGTACCATGTAGTAGTGGGCTTCGCCTAGCAGCTCCCCCAGTTCTCTGGTACTCTCTGGCAGTGGCACTGACCCATCTCGTAGGTAGTTGAGGATCGTACCAAAGTGACGGCCGCTCCGGTCAATCAGCACCCAACCTGGTGGAGTGGGGAAAGGCAGGAAGGAAGGATAGCTTTGGGAAGGGGTCCTTGACCTACCGAGTTTTTATGGAAAAAGGACTCGAAAGCCTGAATACTGATCCATCTCAAACCTCTGCCATATCTAAGAAATCCCTTTCAAACACCTCCAGTGATTCTTCCCATAGACTTTAAATGTACCCTACTGCACAGAATAAATTCCCTCCTGAAATCATCTTTGACACAAGGTTCTCACCATGACCTTATCAATAAACCTCTAACCCCTGGTGCTAATTCTAACCATCCTATCTAATTAAAATGCCTATTCCCGCCCTCAAGTCACTATCATAATAATGTAATTACTTTACATTATTTACAGTACTATCTGCGATTACATACATATATTGCTTACTGGTCAGCCATTCCCACTTCCACTTCTGTAAAAGAAACTCCATAAAACTAATCTTGTCAGATTCCTTTAAGTCTCCAGCACTAACTGGTACTTTATAAATACTTATCAAATAAATGAATTAGTCACCTTCAACATTTAAAGGCTGAACTCCACCTTCCTTGCTTTCACAATCCTTATTAACACCCCCCACACTCTAGGGCGGAGGTGGGAGAAGCAAACTTATAAGGTCCCACTTGATCATGTGAATCTCAAACTTGAACGCAACACTACAAGAAGGTAGGGTTCACCTACTAAGGAGGACTGTCCACCCTCCACTTTGGCGACCCTAACAGACTCAAAGTGGCCTTCTCCTACAATCCACATGTACGTATGATTCCCAGCGTGGACAAGGACCTACGTTAGGGGAACACGACTGGGAGACAAGATCGCCCAGCTCTCCAGAACTGTTAGCAGTTCTGAGGAAGAGAGACGAACAGGATGGACAGACGGAAAAACCTGGTTCCCAAATCTTTTGAGCTGAGGACGAAGGGTGGGAGAATCGGTAATGAAGATTAGGAAGTGATATGTTTAATTACTTACCACAGCGCCTGGAGGAGTTAAGGGGATGCATAAATGTTTGGTTACTGCAAGAGTAAAGGAATGGTGAAGGAGAGAGTTTGTGAATGAGGAGGGAGACCCTCTAGCAGGGGCTAGAGGGAGATGAGAATGAACTGACAACGGCATTGAGGCGAGCTATGAAAGCCTGGGGAAAGGGAGCTGGAGATTTGGGGAATGAAAGGCGGCACGTGTAAGCGCGACGCGCATACCTCCGGCGTCTGTGAGCACCTCCACACGGCCGCTGAACATGGCCTTGAGCATGGTGTCCTGTCCCGTGAGGGTGCGCAGCGTGGTGTAGTGCAGCGAGCCTCCCACGTTCAGCTTCACATACTTCCCGTTCGGGATCAGGGGCTTCAGACAGTAGGCAGCAGAGCCAGGCTCTGGCCCCGAGGGCTTAGGGTCTTCCAGGGACGGGGCCTCGGCTGCCGCCGGGCCAGAGGCCTCAGCCGACATGCCGGTTGGGGACGGCGGGCGGCGACCTCAGGCTCTTTGCGCGCCCTCCGGCCAACTCCCAAAGACCCCGGGACCCCAGCCCTCGGGCCAGCCTCTCAGCGAACACGCCCACTCGCTGCCGCTACTCCGCAACTCTAGCCTTCCGCCCCATCGCGCTCTCGCCACCCGGAAGCGGGAGCCGGGCAAATGCGCAGGCGCGCCTAGACCCCACCCTCTGGCTCCGCCCCCCGACGCCGGAGGCGGGGCCTCGAGCGCAGAGTGTGCGTAGTTGTGGCGCCGTTGAGTTTCCGCCAGTAGGGTGAGAACTCTCGCGGAGCAAGTGGCTGTGTGCTCGCGACTCCGGGAGGCCTGACGGAGCAGGAACCCTACTTCCTGCCAGAAATGGATGTGGAAAGCGAGCTCAGCTCGCCGAGCGCTTCACAGGCTTTAAGGGAAACTGAAGCCCGAGAAGGCAGGCATCGGGCAGGGTTTCCCGCTTCCCAGCCCAGCGCCCATGATGGGCTGGGAGAAGTACGAACAAAGAACCAAGTGACCTCTTAAAGGAGGCCAAAGAGAGGTGGCTTCCCAGAGGAAGCGGCAGTGGTGCCAGGACGCCCAGGATGGAAGGCCTATCTGAGGAGGTGATGATGCTAAAGAAGAGACCATGTGGACATGGAAGGAAAGAGTCTCAGGCAGATGGAAGAGTACATGATGGGGGGCAAGAAAATGGTGAGGAGTGTTCTTACCTAATCAGATCTGCACCCAGGTTAGAGGCTGATACCTTAGAGGTTCAACAGTCTACCTTAATGTCCAGCTGGAGGAAAAACCAGTAGGTTCTAGCCTCAATCCTGCCACCAGTTCACTAAGAGATGATAGGCAAGTTTCTTCTCTCATGTTAGTGATAGGTGCAAATTTAAATGACTGTGGGGCAGGCAGGAATGTAAATGAGGGACGTGGACCTGCTATAAGGAATTGGAGAGAAATGGTTACCCTGTCTGTGGTAACAGGGAAACCTCATCTTCTGCCAAAAGGGGTTGCCAGTTCTAATTTTTCAAGTGTAGCAGTAAAATAGAAGAGGCAACTCTTGTCAGCTGGGTGCTGGTTTGCTCTCCTTCCAGAAGCCCTGGTGTTGCTAGGAGCTGATCTGGGACCAACAGTGAGGCTGTGGTGTTGCCCAGTTGAGCACAGTTTCACAAAACATCAACATCAGACAAGGTCACGATCTGACTGATGGATGGAGAAAAAAACCATTTTGCATTCACCTCTGAATACAAACACAAGAACACAGTTCAAAACACACATTCCTCTCTCCCACAATGTGATTGCTGCTCCTTTACCAAGTACAGCCTTATCCCTGATTTCATGTCTGCCATCTTGTAGGTAAGAATTATGAAGTGCACATGTGTAACCCCAGCTACTAAGGAGGCTGAGGCAGAAGAATGATGAATTTGAGGCCACCCTAGGTGCCACAACAAGAACCTGTCTCAAAAAAAAAAAAATTAAAAATCACAGAATTATTAAGATAACTAAAAAGAATTTTCCCTACTTCCTGACAGCATCCAACCTAGACTGAATCCCTCTTTTGAAACCCTCCTTAGGAAATCTAACAAACCCAAATCCTGTAACAAGTTCTCTGGAACGTGTGCATTCTGTGATGTCCTTGGCTCTCCATGGAGTTAAACTACAACTATATTCCAGGTGGTGTATGACAGGATGGCACAGTCAAAAATGAGGGTCTGTACATATTCAGCCATAGCCCTCTCTGCCTTGGACTGGGATCCTCAGTTCTAGTAAGTGTGAGCACAGCTAAGACTGCTCATGTTTCTGTTTCTCATGGCTAAAAGGTAAGTTCTTGCAGAATTGAACTCTGATATTTTGTTGTGATCCATATAAATGTTAGGTTTATTTTGTTTTTGTTTTCCCTTGGAATAAGTTCTCCCTGGGCCTTTTAGTAATTTGATCAGATTTTTATTTTTCCTTGTGAAACTGTCTTCTTGGCTTAAATACCTGTTCCTATGTTCTGCTTGTTTAGTGTTTATTCATTTATAAGAAAAGAAATCTGCATAGAAAAGACAGGCATTCAAGCCTGGATGTCTAAGAACATCACAAATGCGCAGTCTCTGGTGGCTGACACTACTGTTCTCTCTTAAGAAGTTGGGGGTGAAGCTGGGAGTGGCATATATCTATAATCCCAGCTACATGAGATGCAGAGATTGGGAGGATCACAGTTTGAGGCTGCCCTGGCAAAAAACATGAGAGCCTATCTGAAAAATAGCTAAAGCAAAAAGGGCTAGAGGCATGGCTTAAAAGGTAGAGCACTTGCCTAGTGGATGAGAGGCCCTGAGCAAACTCCAGTGCCAAAATAAAAAAAAGCTTGGGGTGCCAACTGTTAGTATCTAGAGTCTCATTATTTCTCAGAATTAACTAGATAAGTCACTTCATCCACCAAGGCCAATGAGTCTGACCTATAACCAGCTCCAGAGGCTGTACATTTCAAAAGGTAGTTTTAGACCATTGTCCTTTGGATACATTTGCCTGGTCATTATTGCAAAATCTTGATAAGGAATTCTTAGTTTTATCTGTGTCCCTGGAAATTGCTTTTATTGCTTCCTCTCAGAATCAGAAGGTTTTCTCCGCCATCATCAGTGTTGATCTGTCTTTGGTCAAGACCTGGATATACAAAAGTTGAGTGAGCAACATCTTCATGGTCCTCATCTCAATGAACACCAGGCCAAAGACCAATTCCCTTCATGTTTTCTCACGATGACACTAACTTATATCTCTCTAACTGCCAAAATTTCACCAGGGACAAATTTGGAATTACAGTGGCCATTTGGGGGAACTTTTGATAAGAACAAGATATTTCATTTGAGAGGTACCACAGAACCGAAAAAGAAGAAAGCCTCGTGAGGAGATTGTTTTATTTTTCAAAAACAGAGATTTTTTGTTTAACATAGGTGACAGTTCATTTCCACACTATGTGCATTAATAAATGCTGGGTTTACAATGCTTTTTTTCTCAGTGCTGGAGTTTGAACTCAGGGCCTGTACCTTGAGTCACTCGACCAACCCTTTGTTTGTGATACATTTTTTTTTTTAGATAGGGTCTGGCAAACTGTTTGCCCAGGCTGGTTTCAAACTCCTATCCTCCTGATCTCTGAGTAGCTAGGATTACAGGTGTGAGCCACCAGCACCCAACAAATGCTGGGTTTTTTAAATCACATAGCTCTATTACCAGTATCTGAGGTACTTTTTTTTTTTTTTTTTGATGGTGCTAGGGATAGAACTCAGGGCTAGGCAAGCACTCTGTTACTGAGCAGCTCCCCAGCCCCTGATTTACTTTTTTTTTGCAGTACTGGGTTTGAACTCAGGGTCTACACCTTGAGCCACTCCACCAGCCATTTTTTGTGATTTTTTTTTTGAGATAGAGTCTCTCCAAGTATTTGCCTGGCTGGCTTTGAACTGAGATCCTCCTGATCTCTGCCCCGAGTAGCTAGGATTACAGGTATTAGCCACTGGCACCCGGCCTGAGTTACTTTTAAAATCAACTGCAGCTACAGATATGGCTCAGTGATAGAGCACTTATGTTGCCTAACATAAGCAAAGGCCATACAGCAGTGCTAAATAAATAAATCACCAATAATGTCCTTTTGTGTGTGTGTGTGTGTGTGTGTGTGTATATATATATATATATATATATATATATATATATATATATATATATATATAGTACTCCTCCAACCCTTTTTTGTGTTAGGTATTTTCAAGATAGGGTCTTGAGGGCTATCTGCCCAGTCTGGCTTCAAACCATGATCCTCCTAATCTCTGCCTCCTGAGTAGCTAGGATTACAGACATGAGCCAAAAGTTCTGGCTGATCATTTCCTGTTTATCTGAAGTAGCTCCCTTTCACTTTTCCTTGCTGTTCAATCCTCTCCCTCCCTCTTTGTGAAAGCTTTGAAAATTTACTAATCAAAAAATTGTAGGGCTGGTGGAGTGCCTCAAGTGGTAGAGCACCTGCCTAGAAAGTGAGAGGCCCTGAGTTCAAATTCCAGTGCCACAAAAAAAAAAAAATTACAAGCCAGATGCCAGTGGCTCACGCCTATAAATCCTAGCTACTCAGAAGGTAGAGATCAGGAGGATCGCAGTTCAAAGCCAACCTGGGCAAATAATTCGCCAGACCCTATCTTGAAAAACCCTTCTTACAAAAAGGGCTGGTGGAGTGACTCATGGTGTAGGCCTTGAGTTCAAACCCCAGTACAGCAAAAATAAATAAAATAAATAAATAAATAAATTGTGCAGTTGTATATGCACACTCTAGGGACATCTAGCCCATTAAATAGAAATAAAAAACAAAAGGAATAAAAAGTTATTAAAATGTGTATGTGTTCTTTGTGAGCACTGAAAATTGTATTTATGTAACAGTTTATTATTCTAGCCACAGGATAAGAAAAGGCCTTAGTTCCAAGATAAAAGAAGAGCTCTTGGTATTGAGACAGGCTAGTAATAGGGAAAGTACCCAAACCAGGTCACAGGGAACGGGTGGCCTTCTCAAAGATTGTCTCACGGGGAATAAATGATCTAGGTCCACCCAGAACTGCCTACAAACGCCCCTTTTGAAATAACATTTTCATCTGGACCCAAACTGGGGCATGCACACAAGGGCCCCTAATTATAGAATTCAGAAGTGCAGTCAATCAATCTGTCAGTCACCAAAAGCCACTCCTAAGTACCACTCAAATCTCCTCCCCTTGCTCACCCCTTGTAGTATATAAATGTCCATCCAAACTAAGGCACCAGTGCTCCTAAGCTACACATGCTGCTCTTCAGCTATCTTGCTTAGAGCCCACTTCTCACTTCTTCCTTAGGAAGTGTACTTCCTGCTGTCACTTACTCATTCTCACTTGCCATAAAACTCGACTGCTACTTTGCATTCTGTGTGTCTCCATTCAGTTCTTTGTTCTGGATACCAAGAACCTGAGATCGTCTCAAGGAGGATCTTCTGAGACTACCCACCAGTAACAATATGAGTCAGTTCTTTCAGTTGTAATTCACCGTGTAAAAATGAAAAAAAAAAGGGTTGGCCCCTTCCCTGCTCTCTCTGTCTTGCCCTCTATTGCCCTTCCACCTTCCACCAGAGGATGACCCAACAAGAAGGCCTGCACCAAATGCCAGGAGTTTGATACTGGAATTCCTAGCCTCCAGGACTGTGAGAAAT